CCTTTCATTTCCAAGTGAGCCCCTGCCCTGGGGCCTCCTGAGCCCTTCATCAGACACAGATGCAATCCATTTTCTCTGTGCAGTCACTGTGTCTCGGCAGATGTGAGTCAGCATCCTGTTCGGAATGGCCGTTGGTGCCTTGCCATGGACAATAAAGACACACACTTTCCATGTAATGCCAGAGGCTGGAGCCGGCTTGGGGTTTCCACCCGAGAGAGGAGGAGGAAACTCCAGGAAGCTGATTTTGTGGTTCTGGATTCAGCTATCATTTTAAACTGCAAGTGGTTTTTATGCTAGAAAAATACAGTGGACAGTTTAAGGGACCCAGGATTTCTGCCAGAACTTGGCAGTGCCTCCCGGTGGCAGCCCCTTAGCTAAGCTTTGCCCCAGGTCGACCGGCTTGTAGGGTAGCCACTGACCTCTTGGATGCCCCCGCCCCGAGTGTTGAAAGTATTGTTGCAGTTAGCCGATTAGATTAGCTGACTATTTTTAGTTGAGGAATAAATGCTTAAAAACTTCCACTTAGTGCTATTTCCTATCAGGAGCCAATAGATTTGTGTCCCAGTTCCTGACCAGTCTTGGAAAACTGTAATTCCTATTAGTTTTGAAACGAAATTTTAAAAAATCTGCCCGGATCACAGAATTTATCACGTTCTCACCCATATTCGGTGGGGGCTGCCCCGCCCACACCGCTCTTCCCGGGGCGAGCTTTGCTTACTTGGCCTAGATTACTTGGTGACTGCCCATATCCAATGCAAGAGGAATGGATGGGGAAAAAAAAAGCATTATTCAGGTTTGCTGTTTCTTCTTTATGTCCCCCTCCCACACACATGCACACGGTTTCTTTTAGACCCCGGGCCCTTCCACAAACACTTCCTTAAGCACTGGAATGTGAGAGGTCAGAAAGTGCAAGCCCAGAGTAGGCAGGGCCCCGTCTCCCGGGCCAGGGAGAGCTTTCCTAGCGTCCTGGCCGGTGGGCTGTGAGTTGTCGGTGGTGACTGCTGACATAGGTAGCGAGTGTTCCGTCCTCATCCATCAGCTGTGTCCTGGGCAGAAATGGTGAGTAACCGACCGGACGACCCTTGCGGCCTTCACCTGTACTGAGCTATCTTCCGCAGGAACAAACCGCCTCGCCAGTTACAATAGCAGGTCGAGAGGAAGCAGCAGTGTTCCGACGATAAGATGGTTCTATCCCACTGGCAGATTTATGCGTTTGGTGTTAAAGCATAGGACACGCCTTAAGTGGCTTTGACTAGGGCATTGATCTTGGGCTCCCATGATTTATTTCCTCTTTCCGATGGAGTCGAAACATGCAGACAATGGTACCGCTATGCCTGATAATCTAAACTGAGTCGTGGTTTTCCACGGCGTGCAGATTCTCCACGTATGGGAGAATTAGCTGACACAGGTGAGGTTCTCGGGTCTGGCTGGTGGGAAAGGAATCGTCCACTTGGAGAAATAGCCTCCATTTCTTTCTTTGTAGTTCCCGGCATTAGTGTTTGTGTAATGCATAAGATCGTTCACTTGTAAAGACCCAGCATGTTAGATGCTGCCTCCCAGCAGACTATTTACTCGGTAAATAATCCAGGTAAAATGCATTTAGATTCCTTCAGACGTACAGTTGTTGCTGCCTCCTAGGTGAGATTTCAAGTTAACCACCTAGACTTTTTACAAGGATTTCCGGTAATTAGATTGAATTCCAGCTCTGCTGCCTGGACACTTGGCTGCTATAGAAAGAAAGGCAAAGAGCTGTTTCACTGACTAAGAGTGTAGGACTGCACTGCAGTCTGTGGAGTGAACCCTGTTCAGATGTTATTTCTTACCTGGGTTGTTTGAACAAAGGTAAGCATTTCTTTCCCTAAAATTGTAGTCAGCCCTGTACCTCGAAGAAGCAGCTGGTGGAAGTGACATAAAGGCCTTGTACGTAGGCAGATTGCTAAAGACCTTTCCATTTCCCACCCATGGTTGTCCATCTCTGTTGGTGATTCTCAAATAAGGAAATACCAAGGAGCTTGATGAAATGCTGCTCTCTGGGTTCCAAGTCCTTGAGAGTCTTAATCAATAGATCCCAGGCGGGGCCCACAGGACTGCGTTTTTAATAATTGCTTCATGTGACTTTAATGCAAGTGGGCCAAGGACCACATTCTGACAGGAACACGGATTTTGCATGTGTTTCCAAGAGAGAACTGTATGTGTCATGGGTCAGTGTTCTTGGTATGCATTCATGTTCAGCCGGCTCCTAAGTTGATTTCAGGAAATATTAGAATTGAAGTTAGAGGGTAGGATTGTGTATTGGGTGGTTCTTCAGCATTTTCAGATGGGGTTAAATAAAGTTAAATCTAAGGCAAATACACATGAATAAACAAGTGTTTTTCCTAATATAAAGACAGAGCCTGAGCCACAGAGCAAGAGAGCGTGCAAGCGAGTGAACACGTGTGTGGAGAGGGAGGCGAGCGTGCAGATGGCCCAGACGCTCGTCCACTGCAGAGTCTGCGAATAAATCTATCCTGCCCACACCCAGCTGAAACTGAACATAAGTTAAAGCTCAGTGGTATCTGTTAGTGTTTTGTGGAAGCAGAACTGGAGGTTGTTGTCCAAGCCCCTTACTTTCGCAGATATGGAAACTGAGACCCAGGGAGGACAAACGTTTGCACAGGCGACACGTGCAGAGCTCAGCTGCTGTCCCTGAGCTGCAGACTATCCACTTATAAAACAGAAAGAGAAGTAGCCATCCCCACGTGATTGTTGTGAGGAGTAAATACGACAGTTTGTGTTGGGATGTTTGGAAACTGAAGAGAATTACATAGATGTAAATTCCTAATTGTTATGCATGTTGTGTTTTCTTCTAACTAAAGTGTTTAGAACCACACTGGGCAACTCTCGAAATGAAGTCACTAGTTGATTGTAGATCAATGACTACATGCCACTCACTGTGCATTTAAAAGGCCATTTTTATGGTCCTTATGGTGAACTTTGAAAGCATAGATAATCAAAAGAAAGAAAATGTTAAGTTACCCGTAACTCCACCACTTAGATGATCACTATTAAAATTTTGATATAAAGGCTTCCGATATTTTCTTATAGGTGCATATATAATGCATATGTACATTTTGCAAAAGTCAGGGTATACTGGGCATACTGCTTGGTAACCTGTATCTTTTTACTTAACAGTACATATGTTGTGAATATTTTTCCATATCAATTAATACTTCTATACCATCTTTTTTTTTTTTTTTTTTTTTTTTTTGAGACAGAGTCTCGCTTGTTGCCCAGGCTAGAGTGAGTGCCGTGGCGTCAGCCTAGCTCACAGCAACCTCAAACTCCTGGGCTCAAGCAATCCTTCTGCCTCAGCCTCCCGAGGAGCTGGGACTACAGGCATGCGCCACCATGCCCGGCTAATTTTTTTCTATATATATTAGTTGGCCAATTAGTTTCTTTCTATTTATAGTAGAGACGGGGTCTCGCTCTTGCTCAGGCTGGTTTCAAACTCCCGACCTCGAGCAATCCGCCCGCCTCGGCCTCCCAGAGAGCTAGGATTACAGGCGTGAGCCACCGCGCCCGGCCTATACCATCATTTTAAATGACTGCATGATGTGGACAAAATAATGTTTAATTAGTCTCTTACTGGAAATGGGTTTTTCTTCTTGTATTTTTCAATATTATATACAATACTGAAATAAGCATCTCTGAAGCTGAATCTCATATACAGCAATAGGGTCTCCACGTTTACCTGGACTACTCTAAAAATCAGAGCTAAAGTTATATATGCTGCAGCTAAGATAAGCAACGTATTGGTATGAACTCACTTTGAAATGAGTATATAAATTTTTAAAAATATTATTTATTTTTATAACCCCAGATCCTAACTATACACTTTTCAATCTCTCTAACACACTTGAGAATTCAGGATACCTCCTGTGTTTATCTTCTCTTTGCCTTTGCCTCTGACCTTTCTGTTTCTTCTGGACTCACTGATTCAGGCCAAGCTGCTTGTGGTTTCCAAGTGACCTTGTGTGCTTAGCAGCTCTACTCTGTCCCCCAAGAATTACCTATTCAGTTATGGCAAAGACTCTTCCTTTCATTAAACAAAGTTCATAATCAGTCAGGGGAGAGACCTTTCATATTCTGAATTCTTAAAATTGTGCTTTCTTAAGTTTTAAATGGCATGCGAGGAGTATTTCTGATATAAAATTGGAAACTTTCAGATACCAGAAGGCATTGCTTATCTTTGTAAATACACATGTTCCAATTAAAATAGGTACTAAAATATTTTGGTGGCACTTCAAAACTCCCAATTTAGATTTAATTTAGATTAAAACACTTACTCTTTTTAATAAAGTTATAAAATTGATTATTAAAATTGCCTATTGAAGATTAAAAAGCAGTGGAACGTTTATTTTCCTTACAAAACGATTTAGTCTTCAATAAATATGATTGTATTAATCAATTATGCTATTAAAATACAACTGCCATATTAAATCTGACTCATTTGTCATGAGTTTCTATAATTATAGAAATTATACCTAGCTGCTTACATAGCTGTAATCCTGCAATAAATATAAATTATTGTCTCTATTCATTCAGTTTGCAGTTACTGTCTGTTAAATCCTCAGTTAAATGGCAATTTGGGGACCTTCATTTAAAATAATCCTAAATCTTTGTTGTTCCATCTGACTGCCAAAGCCCTACAAATGCCCCTCCTACTGCTGATTCCAGAAACCAATTTATGAATAAAATAGTTTTTAAAAATACAAACATTTAAAAGGTCCATTTAATAAAGCTTGAGGTTTGAGGCTCTCGGGTGGGGGGAAGAAAGGAGAGTGTCCATGCTGGATAGAGAGGGTGCTGACAAAAGAGAACCAATCTTGGTGTCTTGGTATTTCAGTTTGGAAAGAGTATATAAATCTTAGTTTGAAAAACTGGGCTTAAAACCTTCCGTGTGAGGCTCAAAGTACTAGACCATATGGTCGAGTAACCGTTCACAACTTGTATCTCCATAGGTGTGGATGAGGTCACCATCGTCAACATTTTGACCAACCGCAGCAATGCACAGAGACAGGACATCGCCTTCGCCTACCAGAGAAGGACCAAAAAGGTACATGCATTTTCAGGGATGAAGGGCATTCCTTGTGGAACTGAATTTACTCAGGCATTGCCTTTTCTTTTCATGAATTGTGGTTATCACCAGCAAAAGCCTTCTGGAACCCTTGGGTACCCCCAAGCTTCCAAGGTGCCTGGGATCTCATTTGTGCAGACAACACTGTCTTCCAGCCCAGACAGACCACAGGGAAGGAGCAGTTCTGGGAAGAGAAAGTTAGAAGGGAATTGGGAATAACAGTAACAACAATAAGTGCCACTCATTGAGTGCTTACTTTGTGCTGGGCACTGTGCTCAATTCTTTACACTTAGTAACAATTCATTTCATCTTTATGACTTCTGCTGCCTCTTGATAAAATGTTTCTAATTTAATCTTAGGACATTAGCCTCCACTGAGGACTGATCCTAACGGGCTCCTCTCATTCTTAAAATATCCACTTCAGTTCTTAAGAGTTCTGCAGCAAATGGGCTTAGTTGGTAGTGCATTTGGTCTACAAGGCTATCTTCAACACGCCACACTCCTTCTATTTAAAAAGCACTTTGTGTGCTTTTTCCTTTGCTTGTCCGCTAGTGGTTAAGAAACAACCGGCACTTGTTCATCCTTTATTTTGTCGCACTGTTCGGAAATTTTATTTTTAAGGATGTGCTGCTTTATTTTTAACATCCTGCTATTAAAAGCTTTTGATTTATTCTTGGATGGTGCAGTAAGTGTGGCTTCCTGCAGCTCCCGTTTGACTTATGGCTTTTCACTCATAGCCACGGCAGAGGTGAGCTGGAAGCTTTCTGGAAGAGACGGTTCTGTCCTTGGGGATCATGCCACCAGCAGGGGCCTGGGAGTTAGTTGCAGGTCGAGCCTTGCTATAGTGCTCTCCCCTGCCCTCCAAAACAGTTGAAAAGGACATAAATAGGAAAGCATCTGGCTTCTTTCATCTCATGTGCATTAAAATTCTTTCTCCAGTAGACTTATATTAATCATCCGTAGTGAGGCTTAGAGGGAAGTGTTTTATTTCTCCAGCTTCCCAGAAGGATTTGTGAGCTGGGAGAGCCAAGTTCCCATTGGAGTGGGAGGCCCAGCTCTTTGAATGGTAGGCAAGAAATTGATCCTTCGGCTGTCACTCACAGAATTCGGTCTTGGAGGATGCTTGGGTGCGTATTCACAAGTACGCAGGGAGACAGAGAAGCCTGGATCTTGGTTTCAAATTGGGCAGATGGAGAACAAAGCTCTCACATACCCTTTTGGAGGGAAGATATTACCAGAATCACGATGAGGTTCAGTGACCTCACAGGCTTTGCTGTGTGCTGTGGGCCCAGCTCACCACCCTGCTTGTTCTCCACTCTCAGCCCTGGGCCGAGAATTGTCATCTTTTGCAAAAAAGACACATAAACTATTTGAGATTGTTTCGGAAGGAAATCCTAGAAGCAGAACCTTATGGTTTCACATGTTGTTTGTAGAACAAAGGAGAAAGGCCTGTGTCACAGAGTACTTTAGGACGTGGACGGGGACTGCCTGGGTGACGAGCATGAAGAGCCGGGCACAGCTGGCAGAAGTGGAGGGAAGCTGGGAGAGACGTCGGACTTTATGTTTCTTTCCTGTCCCAGCAGATGCCAGGCACCAGGTTTCTCCACGCAGGGAATAGTTATGTTTTATTTATCAGACATTGCTGCCGCTTTTGTTAAGTGCAAAGCTCTGGGCTGGACATTATAAGAAACAGGAAGGCCAGGTGCGGTGGCTCACGCCTGTAACCCTAGCACTCTGGGATCCGGCCAAGGCGGGCGGATTGCTCGAGGTCAGGAGTTCGAAATCAGCCTGAGCAAGAGTGAGACCCCATCTCTACTATAAATAGAAAGAAATTAATTGGCCAACTAACACATATAGAAAAAATTAGCCGGGCATGGTGGCGCATGCCTGTAGTCCCAGCTACTTGGGAGGCTGAGACAGAAGGATTGCCTGGGCCCAGGAGTTTGAGGTTGCTGTGAGCTAGGCTGATGCCATGGCACTCACTCTAGCCTGGGCAACAAAGTGAGACTCTGTCTCAAAAAAAAAAAAAAAAAAAGAAACAGGAAGTTGAACGCCCATAAGTAGTTTAGAATAGAAGTGGAGGAATTCGGTAGAGGTGCCCGAATGCTATTTGAGGTTTGAACAGAGGATAGGTACAGGGGAGTGTCGGGGGGCAGGCTAAGTTTGGAGTGGCCTAACCTCAAAGTGCCAAACTGGAAAATTGGTGTCGTAATTGGGAGGTGGTGCTTTTAAAATCCCCTCCTAAGTGCTATGTGCTCCTAGGACATAGGGAAGCAGGAGAAAGTAGGCGGGGAAAGGCTTGGGCCAGATGATTTCTAAGCTCCATGTCAGTTCTAACATTCTTGGCATCTGAATGACTCGAGATGATTGTCTCTGAAGCAGGCGGCATGCACATCATCCCTCGTGGCCCTGCAAATACCTGTAGGGGCTAACATTGTAGATGCCATGGGTGTTATCACGAAGCAGGAGAGAAATAAAGAAGGGAGAGAAGAGAAGGGGAAAAGTGAAAAGAAAGAAGAAGAGTATTCAAATAGGAGAGTCCAGCCATCACCCATGATTGTATGGGAAGTTTAATCCCGAGGAAGTATCTCAAAAGCCGCATTGAATTGGGTTCTCTGTCTACATACATAGGTGCTGACTCAGACCTCTGACTCAAAATCTTGTGCTCATGGTGACAGTGGAACCCCTAAGAAATTATGTGCAGCCAGGAATTCAAAGGGGTCACTAGGGGGCTTTAGTTTCGTATCACCTCCATCAACACCATCCCAGTTGGGTGCAGACAAAAATACTAGATGTTTTCTCAGTATTAGATGAAGTGTTTTGGGTGGGAGAACTTCATGACCCCACTTCCAGCTATGCCGGGGCCTCTGGTTCCTTCTGGTGACTTTGGATCCTTGGAGATGTGGAGCAGCTGCACAAACATCTTTTGCAGGATAGCAGCAGACCTAGGACTGCTTCCTAGGACGCTCTGCGCCCCCTTCTTAGCAGGAGCCTGGACCTGGGAAGGTGCACTGGCTTGCACCGGGTGTTACCACTTTCAAGCGGATCGTAAAGCGTCTACACACACGGCCTTTTGAGGAATTGCATACTCCTCCGGTTTCCTTTTAATGACTGGGGGAGAAGGCCAAATCAATTTGGATTTTAAGGGATTTTGGTAAAGCAAAGCACAATCTTTATGTTTCTAACATCTGGGTCTGTCAAAGGGGATGCAGTTGAGGGAGTTTGACCGGAGGTTCCAGAGTTGATCAAAGACTCACACCTGCTTTACAGACACATCTTTCTTGCTTTTGTTTTACTCACCAGTTTTAAAGTGAGTATTTGTTACTGACCAAGTTTTCTGTATGATTGCCTTTTTTTTTTTTTTCTGAAGGAACTTGCATCAGCGCTGAAGTCAGCCTTATCTGGCCACCTGGAGACGGTGATTTTGGGCCTATTGAAGACACCTGCTCAGTACGACGCTTCTGAGCTAAAAGCCTCCATGAAGGTAGATGGGTGTGCAATGTCATCTCTGTCAAATCTGCTACTAATATTTGTGAATTACAGCATTCTAAATGTTAATTAGGTGATTCTTCAGTTTTGTTGAATTCTCATTTGTAACCATTTTTTTTTTTTTTAATGGACTGAAGCTAGAAGTCTCAGGATTTGTACCAAAAATATTTCCATTACTTGCTTTAAGACTGTAAAGAAATTTCATGGTGCTGAGAAGTCAGTTACCAGCTGCTACCACTCGGCACCTGGGCAATTGGAATACCATTTGGGAAAACTACTTCCTTGATTACACTTCCTCCTTAAAAAGGATATGTTGTGATATTAAGGCAAAAGAAAAACTCATAGCTTTTGTTAAGTGAAGCTTGCAAATTCTGCCCATGCTCTCGTGGGTGTTTCTTCCTCTGATCTTCTTTCTGCACGTCAGTCCCATGGTTTGTTTCAAGTTCATGTGAAATTAGAACATCATAGTGCACATGAGGGGTGATTTCCGCTTATGAATGGTACCTGCGTTTAGTTCAAAGTCTTGTAGCACATTTGCTCTTTTTATGTTTTTCTTTTGCAAAGTTATTTTGAACATGAAATTTTAGGTTAAATTAGGCAGTAAAAATTCCAGGTTGGAAACCCTTTGGATTTTGTACCTACCTAAAACACAAAGTTTTGAATACATGTACTAGATGCATACACATAAATGTATGTTAGAGCAGAGGGTGTAGATTTTCACAGTGGGGGCCTGCGGCACTTTGAATAGTCTGACACTGCCCTCTGCTGGTAAAGCTGGGTAAAGCCGCCGCACAGTAGGGGGAAGCCATATTTCTGATTTTTTATTCCAAGTCCGAGTGTGTTTTCTGTGATGCCACGATTCCTGAATTATGAACAGACTGAGCTGCAAAGCCTGTCACCAGAGCTAATGTCACAGTTCAGTTGTCATCCTTTCCCCAGAGAGCACGTCGAGAGTGAGGCTGCTTCACACACGGGGCATTTCCAGGGACTGAACTTGATAGGTCAGAGCTGCTGAAAGATTTTGTTAAGTCTCTGTCTTCCTTCAGTTCCTCCTCGTAGCTCAAGCTGTGCTCAGTTTATTTGAGCAGACTTGCGCTGAGTTTCCTATGTGAGCCGTACTGCAAGGGAAGGTATAATTAAGAGTGATAAAATGTCAACAACATTTAATGATCCTGTTTGGTAAAGATAACACTCTTGAAAACTGAGTCTTTGTACCTTTGGAGGCATGCGTGGTCTGGCTTCTCCTAGGTTTCTTCTGACCATCAACACTTTAGATTGGTGTATCTTATTTTCATCAAGAATCCATTTAGACGTGATTTCTATGGTTTTACTAGTATCTGTTACTAGGTATCAGTGACTTGAAACAGACCTGTTTGAGCAGTCAGGCACTGCTATAATCTATGTAATTGGGCCCAATGAAAGGTGCTTTAACTGCTAAATCTTTGACCTTGTGCCAGCTCTTCCATTAGCTATTGCACTTGAGTACCCTTCTGAAATCCATAAAGCTTGAAGTGACATTAACTGAACTATGCTTTTTTTTTTTTTTTAAAAAAAATCTGTTTTGACTTCTGGCAATACCAGTGGCAGTATCTGCCATATGTTCTGGTAGAAGTTGCCCTTGTGATAGGAATTGTGGACAATCTGTGGAAAGCTTGGGCCAAGTGTTGGAAATTGCCAAGGTCACCTTTGAATGCAGATGTAAAAACACTATTAGAATTCTCAGATATTACCACGGGTCTATCAGAGATGGAAGGAAACAGATCTTACATTATTCTGCCTGTCTTGCATTTCTACGATGTCAGGATATAGCATTTCTTCCAATGCATGAGTTATTTTTAGACTGTATTTCTATCATCTTCCAGATTGAAAAACTGCCCCTCCCTAAAATATTCAAAGATGCTCAGTAGTCACTTTATAACATTTGTATAGAATGCTGTGTGGACCTTTTTCTAAAAAGAGAAGAATTCGGGGCTTTGCCGAAACCTCTACAAATCATGATTAAAAACTGTGGTAGAACAGCCATTGGCTCAAAGATTAGATTAAGAATAAAATTCAAAATTAACCATTAACCCGAGGCTTAGCTTATATTACACAAACTACTTCTTCAGGAGCATATAAAATCTAATAAGTTTAATTAATAGCTAACACACTTTTCATGTGGATAAGTAAGTTTCTTATTGTATTAACACCTTATAATTGATTTACATTTTAAACAGTTGTAATTCTACTTAGTTCAAAGTGATATTTCCATATTCAGAAAGACAAGTATTAAAGAATCCTGATTATTAAATCTTGACTTTGATCATGAAGCCAGCTTTGAAATACATGTTTCATTGAGTCCTTTCAAGCTCTCTGGCACGCTCAAAAGTGTATATATTAAATTTGAATACATCACCCATCAAATTCTTATTCCTTAATAAAGTGTTGGTATCTAGGTTTATTTGGCACTTCATTATTTCCTTTTGCTTCCCTAAAATGCCTGAAGAGTGCATAATAATCAAGCAAAAGTGGAAGTACAAGAATGAAATTTTTAACATTAACCCAATTTTACATTTCAAAGAGGCGAAGCTAAAAATTTTATCTTAGCTATACCTTTCCCTAGTAAAAAGACTTACTCTAATGATGCTGGCTGCAGGTGACTCCATACACTTTCTATAGTCCCTTATTTTAAATTAGTGAGAAGAATTGTTTAATGAAGAAAATTCTCATCTATTAAAATAGTGGGTGGTTGCTACAGAAAATGAAAAATAAAGAACAATAGGAAGAAGAAAAGGTTACTTTTTATAAACCCATCACTAAAAGGCAACCACTTTCCACATTATGGTGCATTTCACTGCTGCCTCTTCCTGTTCACTCCCTTTTTTTTTTTTTTTTTCATTAATAACATAGTTGAACTCCAACATGCCACTTTTATAACAGCTTGTGCTCTGGGGAAGCATTTGTTAAAGGAATAGAAGAGAGATTATTATACAGGGATTCCATTTATTGGGTGCTGTTCAGTCTTTGTAAGAGAATTCCCAGCTCTGGACTGTGGATAATTGAAGAGTGATTGCCAGAGCCCCCTGTGGACCCCTGTACACTAAGAAGTATAGGAGACTGTGGGTAGAAAAAATAATGCAACTTACATTGCTACCGCATTTTTCTCCTTTTTAAAAATGGATACGTCATAGTTATACTTATTTTTAGGTGCATATATTTTGGTGCATGTATACAATGTGTAATGATCAAGTTCGGGTAATTGAGATGTTCATCACCTCACACATTTACCTTTTCCTTCGTTTTGGGAACATTATAATTCATCTGTACTACTGCATTTCATATAGACGCTATTTTGAATACTGAAATAAATTCATTTAAAAAGTATTATTTACTTCTTACTATTTTGCCGTTGTGCATTCTCTCAATCAATGGTAATAAAGTGCATTTGTGTGTGTGTGTGTGTCCCTCCAAATGTTTTGATGTTCAAAATGAGTATTATAGTCGAGAAGTTGGGAACTAGTATTTTAACCACAAAAGAGGGTCACTGATCAAAGGTGAGGCTGAAGATCCCTGATTTGATCTAACTGTCTGTCCCTTGTCACTCACTGACAGTCATTTGGCTCTGATTTTGGGGGGGTAAAAAGCCATTCTGGAGAGTCTGTCCTCAGTCTGGGTTAAGGAGCATGGACATGCCCAGCGGACACCAGCTGTTCTGCTTTTCAGAGTCTTGGTGGGGAATGGTGGTAATTGGGATGGGTGGGGTGGCTGGCTGGCTGCACGGCAGAAGCATAAAACCGGATGTGTTATTTCCAAGTGTACAAGACGATCTGGAGAAGGACATTGTTTCTGACACATCTGGAGACTTCGCAAGCTGATGGTTGCCCTCGCAAAGGTGGCTTCCCGGTTTATTTCTTTGCCCTGGCTTCCTCCCAAGCAAGTCACATACCTCTGCGGTCCCAATCCCCGGGTCCTGGACCAGTACTATCTGTGGCCTGTTAGGAGCTGGGCTGCACAGCAGGAGGAGAGCAGCAGGCCAGCAAGCGAAGGTTCATCTGTATTTACAGCCGCTCCCCTCTCTCTGCATCACCGCGTGGGCTCTGCCTCCTGTAAGATCAGCAGTGGCCTTAGATTCTCACAGGAGCATGAGAGATCTAGGTTGCATGCTCCTTATGAGAATCTAGTGCCTGATGATCTGAGGTGGAGCTGAGGAGGTGATGCTAGCGCTAGGGAGTGGCAGCAAATACAGATCATCATTAGCAGAGAGGTTTGAGTGCACAGAGACCGTAACAAGTCATTTGCTTGCAGACTCACATCAAAGCCCTATCAGCGAGTGGCAAGTGCCAATGTAATAATAATAGAAATAAAATGCACAGTAAGTGCAATGCGCTTGGATCATCCCCAAACCATTCCTCCCCTCCCCTGTCCGTGGAAAAAAATTGTCTTCCATGAAACCAGTCCATGGTGCCAAAAAGGTTGGGGACCGCTGACATACCTCATTTTATACTTGGGAGTGAATTAACTAAATCCTCTGCTTGCATCAGAAATTCAGCTGCGTTTTCGACAGCTGGTTTGCACTGTCACTGCAGAGTTGTCATTTTTGTATAATAGGATTTCTTATCCTGCAAAACCGCATGGACAAGTGGACTTTGGGGGCCAGAGGAGGAACAGGCGGCTCTCAAGTCCTGGCCTGGATCCATGTGCCAGCCC